AACCAAATTTGATAAAATTCTAAAAAACTTCTCTTATTTCCCCTATTTGGCCATGCCCCTCCCTCCTTATGGGGTTTAGACCCATCGTTCATACAAAATTGATTCCCTTCACCCAAGAATGCTTCAGACCAAATTTGGGCAAAATCCAATCATTCTTACAGGAGGAGTAGGATATTTTAAAAAGTTGCGACATTCACCCTTTTGGGCTCGGCCCCTCAGGTCCCTTAGGGCTGAAAACCAATAGTAATACTAACTTGGTTACTCTTCTCCCAAGGATGCTACTGACCAAATGTTGTCAAAGTGTGTTCAGTCGTTCATGTCTAGTAGCAATTTTTAGTAAAAAGTTGACAGAGGATGGATGTCGGACAGAGACAGATGCTGCACCCTTGCAACTTTGGACCAAGCAAGCTAAAGATATATAAAATAAGGGACCAAGGGGAAGCTACATATCAAATTTGTGAATGATGCATCCTGTCTTCAAAAACAAAAAGGGTGTGAATGGCATGATTAGTGTGGCATGTTAATTTACATGTGTAACAGAGTCCATTATTTATTTCAATGTAACCACTAGGATTCAACCCTGGGACCTCTAGAATACAAGTCTAACCCCCCAACTGAAGAAGTCCCCTCAAGCAAAACAGTATATTTCAGCTAGTGTTAAACAAGGTTACATCCTCTCACTCCTGGAAAAACTCGAGTATTCAGAGATTACAGTGATGCTTGTAAAATTGATGCTACCAGTAAGTATTAAGTATTTATTTCAATGCCTCCCCTAAGATTCGAACCCAGGACCTCTAGCCTACTAGTTTTACACTGATCAAACTATAGAGACGATCTCTCTACCCAAGCATATGTTGTAGCTAGCATTTACCAGAGATAGACAAAAGATGATGGTCACAGTCTAGTTTTAGTGAGCTAGAAGAAATTTCCTTTTAGACAGATGAGTAGCGCAGTAGACTGGTTAGCTGGTGGTACAAGTTTGACACTCTAGTGAAGGTAGTTGCCATGTGTTATCAACTGGTATATATTGTACACGTGAAAAAGAACTATAGTAATATATCTGTATAGTTTTCACCTCACAAAATTTTTACCTTTACCAATGATCCTTGGGACATCTCTATTGACGAATTATGGGAGCCTGGGGAAATTTTACCATTGATAAATCAATTGTATGAACCAACTACCTTATCAATTATTAAATGATTGCAGGTGGCCAACATTTGAAACATTATATAATCAAAATATCAAGACAAAATTGTTCTATGACTGTGACCACATTAAACTTCATTCCTTTCACAGGTAACTATCCTCAAAGGAATACACAAAGTCACAGCAATAGGTTACCAGTACTCGGGTCACCAACACACAAAGTCACAGCAATGGGTTACCAGTACTCGGGTCACCAACACACAATGTTACAGCAATAGGTTACCAGTAGTCAGGTCACCAACACACAAAGTCACAGCAATGGGTTACCAGTACTCGGGTCACCAACACACAAAGTCACAGCAATAGGTTACTAGTACTCGGGTCACCAACACAAAGTCACAGCAATGGGTTACCAGTACTCGGGTCACCAACACACAAAGTCACAGCAATGGGTTACCATTACTCGGGTCACCAACACACAAAGTCACAGCAATGGGTTACCAGTACTCAGGTCACCAACACACAAAGTCACAGCAATGGGTTACCAGTACTCGGGTCACCAACACACAAAGTCACAGCAATGGGTTACCAGTACTCAGGTCACCAACACACAAAGTCACAGCAATGGGTTACCAGTACTCGGGTCACCAACACACAAAGTCACAGCAATAGGTTACCAGTAGTCAGGTCACCAACACACAAAGTCACAGCAATGGGTTACCAGTACTCAGGTCACCAACACACAAAGTCACAGCAATAGGTTACCAGTAGTCAGGTCACCAACACACAAAGTCACAGCAATAGGTTACCAGTAGTCAGGTCACCAACACACAAAGTCACAGCAATCAGGTCACCAACACACAAAGTCACAGCAATGGGTTACCAGTACTCAGGTCACCAACACACAAAGTCACAGCAATAGGTTACCAGTAGTCAGGTCACCAACACACAAAGTCACAGCAATGGGTTACCAGTACTCAGGTCACCAACACACAAAGTCACAGCAATAGGTTACCAGTACTCAGGTCACCAACACACAAAGTCACAGCAATGGGTTACCAGTACTCAGGTCACCACACACAAAGTCACAGCAAGCAATCAGGTCACCAACACACAAAGTTACCAATGGGTTAGTACTCAGGTCACCAACACACAAAGTCACAGCAATGGGTTACCAGTACTCGGGTCACCAACACACAAAGTCACAGCAATGGGTTACCAGTACTCAGGTCACCAACACACAAAGTCACAGCAATGGGTTACCAGTACTCAGGTCACCAACACACAAAGTCACAGCAATAGGTTACCAGTACTCTGGTCACCAACACACAAAGTCACAGCAATGGGTTACCAGTACTCAGGTCACCAACACACAAAGTCACAGCAATAGGTTACCAGTACTCAGGTCACCAACACACAAAGTCACAGCAATGGGTTACCAGTACTCAGGTCACCAACACACAAAGTCACAGCAATAGGTTACTCAGGTCACCAACACACAAAGTCACAGCAGGTTACCACTCAGGTCACCAACACACAAAGTCACAGCAATGGGTTACCAGTACTCAGGTCACCAACACACAAAGTCACAGCAGGTCACAACACAAAGTCACAGCAATGGGTTACCATTACTCGGGTCACCAACACACAAAGTCACAGCAATAGGTTACCAGTAGTCAGGTCACCAACACACAAAGTCACAGCAATGGGTTACCAGTACTCAGGTCACCAACACACAAAGTCACAGCAATAGGTTACCAGTAGTCAGGTCACCAACACACAAAGTCACAGCAATGGGTTCAGGTCACCAACACACAAAGTCACAGCAATAGGTTACCAGTAGTCAGGTCACCAACACACAAAGTCACAGCAATAGGTTACCAGTAGTCAGGTCACCAACACACAAAGTCACAGCAATGGGTTACCATTACTCAGGTCACCAACACACAAAGTCACAGCAATGGGTTACCATTACTCAGGTCACCAACACACAAAGTCACAGCAATGGGTTACCAGTACTCATCACATACTGTCACTAGAATACCTACCTGTACTCTGATTGGGAACTAAATTACAAGGAATGAGGACTTACCTGAACATTTTTTTAAAGTAAAAAAAAATCCCAATGACTGTTCTTCCACTATCCAGTTACAAATCTTCCAAAAATTATGACACTGAAAAACAAAAAGCAACCTCTATAATTGAAAGAAAGATAACTCTGGTAATATACACATTTATTTCTACAACATGGCATTATTCTAGATGTTTTACTTCAATGATAAGGACACACTGTTTCAAACACTTTGGCAGCAAAACAAATCTATAAAACTAACAATTTTCAAAGTTATATAGAAATTTCAATCTGCAAAACCAGGAGGTGTCATTAAATACAAATTTAAAGGGAAAATATTTCTGGGTTTTGTTCAATATTTTGATAAAGATATTTTGTTAAGTGTCAAGTGACTATTACAACATAGTTCCTGATCAATGCAAACCCTGAAAATCGATCTTAAGTGTTTTTACTTTTTATTTACATGCATGGTGATACATGTATAAGTTTCTGTATAACTTTTAACTAATTACACTTCACTTTTGTGACTTTTTGACCTTCAGGATAAGTCTAAACTGGGCTGTAGAATCTGGTGTCGGATCGAGACCTCAAATTATCTCAGTCAAATGGTGGCAAGAAAAGACAATATAATTACAAGTATGTTGAAAAAGTGACCTATGACCTTTTGTCTTCAAAAAAATGGCGACCCATATATGCATGTCATCTCAATGTTTAATATGTAGTATATTACAGGTATATATCCAGAGATAATAAGTTTTAAGAGGGTGGTTCTCTGACACCCAAGCGAAGCTCTATAAAGACTAGACTTTGGGAATTAAAATCAACGACTGGATAGAGTTACCTCCCTTCCCTTGGTTGCTTTTATCATAAAATATTCGGAAAAACAGAAGTAGTATTCTAGTGAAGAAACAATCTTGCTCAACCAGACGATTGAATGAAATGATCAAGTGGCTGGGTGAATGAGACTTGTGGAAAATCACCATGAAATAAGATTTTGGTAAATACATCTTGAATATCTGAAATTAGAGTTTTAAGCTTTCAATTACATTTTGTGAATAACGAATCAAGATGTAGAACTGTATACATGTCTATCTTATTTTCGGGAGAGTGAGAAAAGTGGTATATATGAGTGCATTCAGTGATACCACAGCATAGTTTTGTTAGTTTCAAACACCATTTTACATTCAAAATGAATATAGCATCCAAAAGGCAAATAAAAGGTAGATTACGTAAACCTAAAGTTGTATCTAATTATTGATTGATTGTGTGATTATATATACATATTTTTTTTATAATTATAATTTTATATCTTTATGCATTGTAAAGTATTCCTCTGGTACTAGGGTATTTATAGCAAAAGCAGTTCAACCCAAATCAAATATTGTGAAGTACCTGTATGCTTTGTTTCAGCCCTAAACTTCTGACATTTCCAGTAATTCAAACATATGCGTTTGTAAATGTTGCATTAAGGCTTTGCCTTTTCAAACCATGACTATGCCTTATTAGACTGCAAAAGATAAAGGAAAATAAAGCCTATTTGCAAACCCAGATTCTTAATTTAAATTTCACATATTTGCTTTTTCTTTCTTTTTTTCTTATTTTTAAGTCATGTTGTCCTCAGACACCTGTATCTTAAATATAAACAACTCATGTAAAAACGTGTCTTACAGGTACCTGTGTTGTTTTCGTGAATGCTGCAGCAGCTGGTCGCTTGCATCAGCACACTTCTAAAATGCAATTCAACCAATCAAAAACAGTTTTTCATACGGGCTTCGGTAGAACTACGAAAGGCTACTTCCGGTAAAAATGGCCGCAAAGCAACTTGTGAAAGCGGTAAGCCTGTACAAATGTTGTATTTATTGTGATAACGGAATCATAAGACAATAACGCACCTTCGAAATTATATTTTTGTTCATTGGTTGTGACCTTTTTCTCCCAAAATAACACGATAATGCATTTGTTTACCGGTAAGACTCAATGACCTTGGTCAGTTTGTTGACAATCGTCATGTAGTCTGTTGTAAAACTCATTAGGTAGTATGTCCGTATGCACAAGTATCCTGGGAATATTTAACTCCCTTGTATTTATATTTTCAGACAACGGGTCTCACCCGGTTGGAAGTGAATCCATTTGCACGTGAAGTAAGTTGAAATACCTAATAATGATAACAGGTCTTACTATTACATGCAGCCTAATTGCAGGTGAAATTGGAAGGGGTTATATCTAATCGTATTATTTGAGCTGTTTTCATATTCTCTCGTGAAAAATCATCGGATTTAAATCAGATTTGGTCGTGGCATTCAGAAATCCATTTACAGTTAAATTCTTTAAGCTATATTTTGTGTGTCACTTTAGAACACTTTTTTAAACTGAATAGTTTAATTTTTTCAAAATGATTGTCATCCTCGATACTCCAGGGGTCATTATCACTTTCGTTCTTTGCACCTCAGGAACCTTCTGTATTGTCATGACGTATTTCAAGGTTTCATAGAGCGAAAAAGATCTTAACTCCTAGATTAGTAAGGATGAATGATTGAATGGTAATTTGTTGTTTGGTAAGTTTATCAAAGATTATACCAGTGTATATGAAAAGAGAGGATTTCCAAATTTTAAGCATTTGCTTTTGTTGTAGAATCTGATGGAACTTTATGACAAGATTTTAAGAACTGTAGCTAAAATGCCCTCAGATGCTGCATACAGACAAAACACAGAATCAATAATTAAAGGTAGACTTGCTCTTGTGGAAAAGGTAAGAAAATGTATATAATATATGTAATTTGTGCCATTTTCATTTTTTTTTTAATTTTCGTGCATCACCAGTAATGTTAATTTTCAGTATTTTACCTTTAAAATACACTATTTTTACTTTAAAGTTTTCATTTCATCATTTCTCACCCAGTACAGTTCTCGTACACACTAGTATAGTTGATATGTATCTGCCCCAGTATCATACTGATGTTTTGCACTTAACAGTAAGTCATATGACATGGATATGTAGCAGCATTAACACTGACATCAAATTGTGCAAAGAGCAACCTCAAAATGACATAGACATGACACCAAATTTATATTACATGAAAGAGCTTTGTTTAAACATTCAAAAAGTATTGCCCATCTGAATGTTTTTCAGGTTTCAAAAAAATGTTTTGAAAAATAACAATTTAACCAAGTGATGAGGTGAGGTTACAACAATATCTGAATGGAAAATGAGATATTTTTTTAATTTACTGTTGAAATTATTTATGTGGACATTGGAATTCACTTTTGAAATATGAGCATTGATGGTATTGTTACTCAAAAGGATTAGAACTCTTTTGTGTTATTTATGCATAAATGACAACGGCAATTGCAACACATAAATAGTTGTTTTTTTCAGTTTTAGAAATCTTTTGAAATTACTTAAAGATGCTCTAATTTGAGTACATATATTTGGCAACCTATGGTACAGATTCATAACTTTGCTTTCAGAATACACACTCCAATAAACTGAGTGTAAATGCACCATAGAGATTAGTCAATGGGTATCAGGATTAGAAATCTTAATATGTACAGTTTTACTGTAGTAGAAAGTGAAACTCTCAACACAAATATATATTTGTGTGAATGTATTCCTAATTTTTAACTCCTACCAAACCAAAATTAAGATTTGACATATAAGACTCATAACAACACATTCAGGAAAACTGTCGTGTCGTAAACACTGTGATGCCTTTGATTCATGCATTTGTTACACTGTATACATTGCATAAATATGTTAATGAGTATTGTTTCAGGGAGCAATATTTACATACATGCAGTGCTACATGTTCTGCATCTAAAACTTCGATTGACTAACATTTATTACTGGAAAGGATTGCAGACTTGTGGCAAAATAACACCTTTTGAAAAAACATCTAGTTATGAAATTTGGATAAAACCTGGCATGTTCTACTGACACATGATCAAGAACATAACAAGCTGTGTAGATTTAATACTGAAGATAACTAGATGATTGAATTGGATGTTTTATGAATCGTTTCAGTGTCAGTACAACAAACACATTATCAGATTTATATCTTATGTTGATGGTAGCCTGTTTACTGACTTGTTCTAGTAACAATGAAGTAACCAATGAAATTATACAACATTGTAGTACATGTCAAAAATTTCAACTGAAATGATTGTTCTATTTTCTTTCAGGAAACAAACTTATTGAAATTGGAGGAACAGATAAATGACGGCCATATTGAAGAGGTTGTTCTTCAGGTGATAATCTCCTTCCATCTCTTTATATATTTTTTTGTAATAAGTTCTGTCTATCTGTTTGTTATGTCTCTGTAAGATACGCCACATTATGGTTGATAGCAAATACAAAAATTGATTTTTCTTTGATTTTGAACTCTGTCGACTGCATGGATTATATATAGTATTAACATTTATTTGTCCACACATCTTCAACGACAGTTTTCTACCAATCTTTTTCAAACATGGTAAGCTTAATCACAAGGAAATTAATTTGTTTTTTCTTGAACAACAGTTTATTTGAAGGGTTTTTCCCTTTTTTATTCTTGTGATTTCATCCACAGATTTTCTCTCCGAGTTTCCAACGTATTTTAATCAAACTTTTTTGATGTTCTTGTTCCATTTGCTTTTGTGTTTTGGGATGATCTCACTGCATGCTCAATGAAGATATTCTAAGTTAATGCAGTTATACAGCAATACTGAAATAGTTATGATATATTTTTGATCTATTTTATAATATACCAGGTATTCATTTTCATGTCCTGTTTTTGCAGGCCAAACGAGAACTCAAGTTGTCACGACAGCTGTTAGATTGCAAAGCATGGGAACCATTAGTTGCTGAGGCACCCAAAAACCAATGGAAGTGGCCAATGTAATGATGTGTATGACTAGTGATAATTTCATAATGTGACTTCAAATAGTTTGTATGTGAAAAAGACTTTTGGTGGTACACATTACCATTCACAATCTCGGTTATCTGTGTATTCCCCGTGTTATAATAAATATATTAAAAAAAAAAAAAAAAACTACTTTTTTTCTCTGTTCATATATGGATCGTCACCTTTTAATACAGCTAAAATAAGAATTCCGATAATTCTCGTTCAAACTTTTGGTTTACAATTGAACTTCCATGTTGATGTATAAAGTATCTGACATCTGTTCTAGTCAGTATGTATAAGGTGGAACTGAATCAGTTTTACAGTAATGGACACAACAGGGGTCCCTGTAGACAGGATGTTGGATTATAAGTTTTATAGTGTATAATTTTGGATTGTACAGAGAGTTGGAATATTCAGAAATCATTATAAACAGGTTCCCCAGCTTATCAAATTGTAATACACATATCATGATTCTGTTGTATTCTCTCTGTTGTGTAGCTCAAATTACAACCCAAACATTGTGATGACCCATTGAAATCATAGAACAACATATGTACAAAATAACAAATGCGAATTTTCCACTTGGAAACTTAGGTCTTTCATTTCATCACATTGTGTGATTTTAGATCCATGTTAAAACAGATGATTTTCAAATGATGTTTATAGCCAGTCAGATAATGGCAGTTCTTTACATTGATAATTATGTCCCCCAAACGAAGTTTCCGACGCATTTCTCAAAAACTATTGCATGGAATTTAACAAAACTTTACACACATATTCATACATGCAAGGCAGAATGCAGTCCACTTGAATTTTTCCAATCGGTCATCTGTGGTCTAAATTTGGCCAAATTTTAGATCTTGTCCGATTTTCGTGAAAATTGGTATATATGTATTAAGTGGCACTATAGGAGCAAAAAAGCGTCCATTTTTCACTCGGCCATTGATCGGTCATCTGAGCGGTCAGCTGTGGTCTAAATTTGGCCAAATTTTAGATATTGTCTGATTTTCGTGAAAATTTGTATAGGTGTATTAGGTGGCACTAGGAGCGAAATGGTGTAGTCCATTTTCATTCAGCCATCAATCGGTCATCTGAGCGGTCAGCTATGGTCTAAATTTGGTCAAATTTTTTATATTGTCTGATTTTCATAAAAATTGGTATATATGTATTAGGTGGCACTAGGAGCAAAATGGCATAGTCCATTTTTCATTCTGCCATTGATTTTCATGAAAATTTGTATATATGTATTAGGTGGCACTAGGAGCAAAATGGCATAGTCCATTTTTCATTCAGCCATTGATCAGTCAGCTGTGGTCAAAATTTTGGCCAAATTTTAGATATTGTCTGATTTTCGTGAAAATTTGTATATATGTATTAGGTGGCACTAGGAGCAAAATGGCGTAGTTCATTTTTCGTTCGGTCATCGATTGGTCATCTGAGCGGTCAGCTGTGGTCAAAATTTTGGCCAAATTTTAGATATTGTCTGATTTTCGTGAAAATTGGTATATATGTATTAGGTGGCACTAGGAGCAAAATGGCGTAGTTCATTTTTCGTTCGGTCATCGATTGGTCATTTGAGCAGTCAGCTGTGGTCTAAATTTGGTCAAATTTAAGATAGTGTCCGATTTTCGTGAAAATTAGTATATATGTATTAGATGGCACTATAGGAGCAAAATGGCGTTCATGTTTGTCATGACTGATTATTGTGATCATTTACTGCTGAAGGGGTTGCTTGGGGGACATTTGTAATGGTCCCCATTACAATTAGTACTAGTTAAGTTCAGTTTGTACAGTGTATCATGGAAAAATATGTTGTTCCCTTCTAACATGTTCCATGATACTCAGTAAAAACATATTTACCAACAGGAAAGAAAACAAAACCAAGGAATATGCAACAACAGAAAACTTTATTGACAATACATGCCAAAACAAAACAAAATAAAAGAATTAGAATATAGTTACTCTGTGGCATTACACGCAATGGATTTCATATAATACACATTGCATATGATGTAAAATTTCTTGCAAATAACTTGAACAAGGCTTGTTCACATATCATACAGTTCTCCAGAATCTCAGAGTTTGTGTTTGGCACTGAAGTAAACCAGTACGTCTGTTTTCTGTAGGAAAAAAATTATGGTTATCTGTAAATACTATGTTTTTAAAGAAAAACAAACAAAAAAATTAATTGTCTTGATGAATAAATTGATGAATTAAATTGTTTCAAAATCTCAGAATCATGTCCTTTATTTGTGAAAAGCATTAGAAGAGAATGTCTCTTTGAAATGAACAATGTCTGAGGGCTTTAATACTTTTCAGTGAAAAGAATACTCAAATACGGTAGGTCTTTTCAAGTCCCAAAGTTCCATGTGTACTGTTTTTTTTGTTTTGTTTTTTCTCCTTAAGAGTGTAGATGATACAATGATAATGACTTTTTGTTTATTGAGCTGTACCTCACTATTCATTATACATAATCAAAGCACTTCCACCAAGCAGATGAATGATTCACATATGATCACAAGCATTTGGATCCCTATTACACTAAACACATCATGAATGTAAAGAATTTTGAAGGAACAACATAATCTTTACAATTATTCAAGGCTTAAATGAGTGTGATTATTTCTAACATTTCATTTTTCATTTAGTCTATCAACACGAACAAGTTAATGAGACATCTTATTTTCTGCACAAACCAAAAGGAATTATATTTTTTTCATGTGTTACTTAAAATGTAACTAACCTGAGCACAAACACAAGTATGCTTTAAACTACACCCAACAAGCATTGGTCTTTTTTATTTATTGATTTCTTTATTTATTTCTATAGAACTACACTTGATACTGAACTAGAAATACTATGATGAACTTGTCACAAAATCATCTATCAACAGAACAGATCCACACTTAAGATGCAGTCTTGTTTTCAGACATCCTCTAAACACAGTCTGACCTTGACTTAAGAAGCATGTCCTCAGGTTGACAATACAATGAAAAACTTCTAACATTGGTCTGACCTTGGTTGACAGTTACATGCCCAGGTTGATAATATACACTAATGCCTTCTGAACTCAGTCTGATACTGGTAGACTGAAGCATCCTTAGGGTGACAACACACACTATCGCCCTCTGACCTCAATCTGAATTTGGTTGACAGTAACATTCTCAGGTTGACAATATACAGTATCAACTTCTGACCTTGGTTGACAGTTACATGCCCAGGTTGACAATATCCACTAATGCCTTCTGAACTCAGTCTGATATTAGTAGACAGAAGCATCCTTAGGGTGACAACACACACTATCGCCCTCTGACCTCAATCTGAATTTGGTTGACAGTAACATTCTCAGGTTGACAATACACATAATCAACTTCTGACCTTAGTCTGACCTTTGCTGATACATGTGATAAAGACTTAAAGATGAAACTAAACTATCATACCTGATCAATATGCTGGTCTTCGTATAATATCATTATTCCAATAAATTCACATTTGCATAAACTGAGTAATTATGAACATCATTTACAACATGTCTTTTAGCTACACAAATACATTTTCAGCGCCTTATAGCAGTTTTGCAGTATTGTATTTCTGAACACAGAGGGTTGTCTCTTAATATTTTGATTCCCATTTATGAATTTAAATATCAAAATTCATAAAAATTTGTAGACTTTCACTTTATCGCTATCTTTAGAAAATAATGATTTAAATCAGTGACATTGACAGGATACTTCTGCTTATATGAAATACACCTGGTACAGTCATAATGTATGAATGAACAAGTACAACACAATCCTTTTGATAATTGATACAGATATATAGCTTTTCATTGAAGACTTTGTCCACGCCAAAAATATGGCAGAACGACAGCATTAAAATTTATATGTAAGCTGAAGCTTTTGTCTCAGAAGAGAGCAGACATTTCAGCCTTTGTTTATGATTAATATGTCCAAGGTTGACGTGACAAGCTGGAATGTTATCTCCATGTACATGCATGTATGTCATCAACGTTATGTCCGAACTTAAATATTTGTGCTAATTACATTATGAATAGCAAACATAGTAAACTTAAGCATCATTTTTTAAACCTAAAAAGAACATGTTGACTATGGAAGGGTCAATTGCAAAGCATAACCTGCAAGTCTGCTGTTGTTTAAGCTTCATAAAGTCATTTCTAACTTTCAATTTCACCAGGATTTACAGAATAAATAATTCTGTCCATGACAAATACTGACAAAGCATAACAAAGTGAAGATCACTTAGTTACAATTTATCGTCAAATCTTTGCTCAATACTACATCAGTGTATCGACACAATACATATTTAACACATCACCAATGACAGTTAATCCAGTATCACATTCCAACAATATCTATAATGTACATGCATATCACTAGCAGGTTCACATAAAATTCTGCTTTTTTTTTCGCTGTTTCAATATTTATCTAGCTAATTCTCTATTAAAATCACAGCCTTTTCAGGACAAATCTATAATTTAAGGTTTTCATACAAATGAAAATATTTCATACCTGAAAGAAGTAATTTGGGACTAAAAAAAAACTTAGCTGTAAAAGAAAATGTATACCTATACGTTTCAATACAGAGTTGCACATTATAAGAATAAGTTGCGACTGTAAAATATATTAATAAATCAGAGGAGCTCAGCTTTTCACTGTACCACAGCAATCCATTCAATATATCAAAGTGTTTGGGGTACTTGCAATTGTATGCAAAAATCTATTTAAGCTCATGCCTGGTAACACATATCTTTTAAAATTTCATTAGAAATGCCAGCATGTTCCTAATCATCATACTGAACCTGCCTCGTTAGGTATGACGGTTCCAATAATGCCCTAAAAACACCGCAGGGCAAAGACTATATCCCATATTAACAAGAAGTTTGTCTTACATTAAGGTTTAAAAGATTTCTGAAGAAATTGTACAACAATGGACAATAAAGGTTGATGTCATTAAAACAATTTCTAACGAAGGGAGATAACCTGTTCAATCTTGAATTCATCAAATTATCATAATAAATCTCAAATGATTTATAATAACTAGAATATAAAATCTCAATATTTGTAGAAAGTGGTAAACAGCTTTATAGATTGCAAAGTTATTTTTTTCTATTTTGAAATTCAAAATCAAGTTGTTTCCATGGAAATCAAGTGAATGAAGCCAATATCATTGTAAGCTACACTAAAGCATTGAACAACTGCTCTCTGCACAATATATATGGCAAGTGATAGTGAAACTAAACACTGAATGCATGGTCCTCTGCATCGGCCTGTTCCTCAATTTTTTTCTGTGTCTGTAAGTAATCAGTGTAGAGAACACGGGCTTGGTGTAGAACCTTGTGTACGTTGTGTTTTCTAACCATCTTGTCAAACATCATGGCAATCTCATCATATTCCAATTGTTTCTGTAATATAGCCTCTCTGTGTTGCATCAGCAATGTGACACACACAAACATCAGAAATGGGTTGCCATTTCCGAACACATCTGGAGGGGGCAGTTTAATCGTTGGAATGCTGTGCTTTATAACTTCCAATGAACTGTCATCTGAGATTTCCGTACATTCAGACATACTCATTCCAGAGTCATTCAAAGGGAGAGAACTTGAACACATACTGGAAGTGGAGGTGATATCTACCTCACTGTTAGCTACTGATGAAGCAACGGGAGACAGCACCGCTTTTCCTGCGTACTTTTGCCTTCCGTTTGTTAACCCATTATTCTGGGCTAACTTTTTGGAGCAGTTACTGTTGCTTTCTGTTTTGAGATCATTATCACAACTGTGTATGTTCAATACTTCGTGTACGATATCAGGAGCCTTAAAACCTGCCACAACCTTTGGGATCTGAATATCTGTGGGCCTCTTTTTTGGAATTGAAATGAATTCTTTAACATTATGAAAGAATCCTGCCCTTTCTCCAGTTTTTTTGAGCGATTTATTGTCAGGGGCAACATGGTTGTTTCCCCCTGTTTTTTCCTCTTCTGTAGAATCCAGAGAGAGATAGAATTGGGAATGTCCACTATCATCTTGATCTTCATCCATATTATCATTGCACAATTCATCATCCGTTCCACCTTCTTTGGTCAAAGAGGCGTTACAGAATGGAGGGTCATTGTTTATGCTATTCTCAGGTCCAACCAAATCCTGAGAGAAAAGTGTCTCAACCTCCTCACTATCTGTACCATCTGTGGGTGTTTCACTTGTCAAGTCCCCATTATAGAAGGAGCCTGCGGGACGCTCATCATGAACACTGCTGCTTAAATCTGACCCATTAAACACTGACTTGCAAGATGTAACATCTGTTGTTTCTTCTTTCAGAACTTCTAGAGCAATTTCTGGATCTTGAATTTTCTTATTTTGAATTGTTGACTCCATCTCGGTTTCAAGAGACTTGTCAATACAAAAGGATTTCGCCTCAGCATCAGCAACCATGGAATCCTTCATAGAAGGAAAATCATGTGCTCCAACAATAGATTTTTCTTCCTCAAATGGGGAAGCATTCTCAGCATTTGTCAGATTTTTAGACACTAATACAGAATTATTATTCACAGAATTACCCACAGTTTCCTCCCCTGATGGAACCTCTAGATTTCTAGACTTTGATGATTTTACTCGTCTCATATTCTTGAACTTCTCATAAATACTTGGCTTCTTTGAGAAGGAAGGCGAGCAGGGTGATGTCGATAAAAGAAATGAGGAATAATCCAATTCTGTCAGGAGGAGCTCACTCTCTGGGTACACAGGTGGCAGTGTGCTCCACATTACCTCAAGCATGTACAGGGCATCTTCAAATGGAAACTCACGTTTCAGTTCAAGAAGTAACCATCGGTAACAGAAAAACATATCGCCAGCATCATGGTCTTTCAAATATGCATAAAGAATGGGATCATGTAGCTCTAGAATGTCACTTAAGTGCTTGAATTTCAGGTTCATTGCATTCTCATTCAATGTGAAGTTTGACTTCATCCTAGCCATGATCCCACAGAAGCAGAGATAAGCCTGTGCTTCATCCTTCTGGATGACTAGTAGTGGTGAGGCAACATCACTCATACCCTGGCAGTATGACACTTCAGGGTGTGTGACGGCGTACGTAACTAAAACATTGAACAAGGACAATAGGTTCTTACTGTCGTCACCTCCGGCAAAATATTTGAGAGTTCTATCTGTCCTTAGGACATCCTTCTTTACCATTGATGTGATGTAGCGGATGTCTTCAGTCATTGATCCTGAACTTATAACATCACGCCAGTTGTCCCGCAGCTTGTAGTACTCATTCTCTTTGCGCTTCATGTAATCAAACCGTTCCTTCCCAGAAAGTCCAATTGGAAATATATTCAAAAGATGACGCCATACAACTCTACGCAGGGATGGTTCCACACCTCCTTGATAGATGCTGATTCGGAACTCCTCTGGTTTTATCATATGGCCGGAGGAATCCAAGTAGTTCCGAAATTCCATGTCTGTCATCGGAGATTTTGATGGCCTGTAGCGCTGCTCGTCTTCATTTCTCAGACCTAAAAATGGAAAAAAAAAAAATTAAATGTTTAACTGACTAGAAAATGTTTTGAAAGATAGATATGCCCTATTCAAAATCTTGAGAGAAAAGAAGCTTAGTCCTAAGTCTTACCTATAGTTTCAAAACATGCCTTAACTTAGAAATAATCTTAATGCAAGAAATAGCTAATCTGAAGCTTAAATACAATAACATATAGATCAGCCATTATTACAAGATAGGAAAGCAAATCTATAACATACACCAACAATGAATTAGAACCTACATGTATGATAAACAAGGGTGCACAGGTGCTAGAATAAACTAACATCCCCCACAAAAGTACTTGTTAACTGTTAAACGAGGAAGGTAAGCATCAGTAGACTTATATAGTAATATAACAGCAGTAGACTTACACAAGTTTCAAATTTCATTGGAATACCACCATTTATTTTCTTTTCATTTTTAAGTAATAAAAGTTGGTGCTAATTCTGGAACCTGTTAATTGTCATAATAATATTGTAAGAATTGTAACTTAGGTACAAGGAAGGATAAATATTTTGAATTTATCAATAATTATTTTGTCATGGTTCGAAATGTTAATGTAACAATAAAGTAATGATAATTAACTTGTAATGGTAGAGGTATTGTGAAGTTAAGTAAGAGGAATAGTGAAGTTAAGTAAAAGTTACAGTAATGTATGAAAATGCAATATTTTGTGAAATATGATATTCAATTTTATATCACGTTGATGAGCTGTACCATGTTGTGTTGAATGCATGTGTGTGTACGTGTGTATGTAAGCATGAGTGTACTCGTCTATGGCTCGTGTGACAGTGTGTGTGATGTCCATTAGGTGCAGATCCTGTGATAACTGATACACCTCATGAAGTGCCCAGTCTTTTACTGTGTTTACTGCAGACATGTTCCCTGAGGGAAAGTACACAAGACCAGGTATTTTATATACATGTAATACAGAATATACACAAAGCCATAAAGATAATGAGGAAAATTGACAAAAACAATGGATATAACTGGTGCAGGTCTATTTGGTCAATCTCTTTCCATCTCAAGCAACAGAAATGTAAAAATGTTATCAAAATTTGCAGAAAGATGAGAAACCACTAGAAATTAAATTTACAATGGAGACATGTAATGATATTTAGATATAAAGGGAAAAATATACCCATGACACGCTGCATGTGTGACACAGTTCTCCCAACTTGGTTGGATATTGTCCCTGTAAGCGATCCCAAGATGGAGTTCCGTTCCACTAGATTGGACACCTTATATTGTGGCACATCCACAGGAGCGATGATATCCCAGTCATCCAAACCTGTGAAAATATCAATGTACACTCCACACCACAGTTACTTAATGAAGTATGATATCACTTCAGACATTATGGACACAGAAATGATAATATACATATGAAGATCCCTTGTACATTTTATTTTTGAAGTTGTGAACCAAACCAGAGGAAAAAGTTGTTTGTTTTTCACAACTAAAACATTCATCTGTATCTATGGTAATTTGGAATTTCCATTCTGATTTATGAACCCACAAATGTATTTTCCAATTAAGTGCCTGGTAGAGATATTATGGAGTAAGACTGACCTTCCTCAAACGGTTTGAGGTCAACCTTGAGCTGGAGACACGGGTCTGAAGCACTCTGGAAGGCTGCATCCATGTCCCAGTCAGAGAGCATACTGAGGTAGATTTCCTGTCCCTCGTCATCTCGTGTTCGGTAACTCAGGGTAAAATCCCTAAAACAGAATAAATCATACTTCTTCATTTCAGTGAAGATGCTTGAAAACAGCTGTTTGCAGATCACATCCGAGAATTACAACTGAATGTCCATATGTTACAGAGACACTGTTATAAAATCATCATAAAAATGGTATCCCCAAGGCAATAAAGGATCTGCACAATGTATAACTCATCTGCTGTACAGCAGAAAGTCTTGACTGTAAATGTGAAGTCAACAAAAAATAGATTAAATCTACCACATATGTAATCATATTACAGCACAAGTCATGGAACATGTGATTGTCACATGATCGTCTTAGCGTTTCACACAGCAAAATGATGTTTACATTAAGGGAACCAAATAACTTTCAGAAAGTTGCTGAAAAAGGTTGTTTTCAGTGTTTAGGACACAGAAATGATGTTTACATTAAGGGAACCAAATAACTTTCAGAAAGTTGCTGAAAAAGGTTGTTTCCAGTGTTTGGGACACAGAAATGATGTTTACTTTAAGGGAACCAAACAACTTTCAGTAAGTTGCTGAAAAAGGTTGTTTCCAGTGTTTGGGACACAGAAATGATGTTTACTTTAAGGGAACCAAATAACTTTCAGAAAGTTGCTGAAAAAGGTTGTTTCCAGTGTTTGGGACACAGAAATGATGGTCGCCAGTCACGTCAGACAAGTAGTCGCTTAATTCAGGACATTTGTATAGTCAATTACATTGGGAGGAAAATTGACAGTCACATACAACAGGAAGTCACTGAATGAAGGTGGTTGCTAAGGCAGGTTTGACTGTGTCTAAATAAAACAAGACATAATGCTGTCCCTATCCAATCATCAGGACCGCATTACGTGAAAAATATGAAAGAATTCATTGAAAAAATGGTCAAAAGTGAACTTTTATCATTTAACTAAGATCATTTGGCCACAGTTGCTCAAACTGGGATTATAATAAAAGTTAACCAGTGGTAATCGAAAAATTCACATTGTTTCCATTGGGAGAAAAAAAGGAGGGGGGGGGGGGGGGGGGGACACCCAAACAAAATTTACATATATCTGTCTTACCTGTCTCAACAAGCAATGAAAGGATGAAGAATGTTCCCAATTTCTTCCAATTCAAACTTGATAATTTTCACTAACCACTATTCAAATTTTATCAGGCTTTCAGCAATTGGAGAAAGTTCTGAATCAGTCATTTTTGGGACTCTGTACTTCAGTCCTAAACTCATGACTTTCCTGTGGGACTCGCTTAAATTTTGAGAACACTCTCTACGTCTTTGTGAGAATCAAGGAAATGATGCACTGGACTCATATAACTTAAATCCTACAAAATTTCCTGTAAATCTTAATATCTGTTGAAATGTTTAAAAGATACAGTCTAACCTGTATTAAACAGCCACTGTTGGGAAATTATGAAAGTGGCCTTTATAGAGAGGTGGCCTCTTAATTGAGGTTCCTTATTTTTGAACCCAAGTTGTGGCAATTTGCACATTGATATTGGAATACAGTTTAATAATAAGATATCAAACATCATCTGTTATTATTTATTATCTTAATAGCAAGTAATTTGAAGACAGACCAATCTTTATTTTATGACACAACTATAAATACAAAAGAACAAAATTGAAAGGAAGGCATTTACACATTTGTAGGAATGTTCACGTGGCGAGAAAACGTGACTCGCAGCCAAGAAAGCTTGTCAAATGACTTGTGGTCAAAACGGCCGTTTTAACGAGGTTAGATCTCGAGTTTGGGGACAAAAAGGGTGGCCGTTTGCCGCGTCAGACAGGTGGCCGTTAAATTAGGTATCATTAATGAGCAAAAATGATAGGGAGGGTCTGAAAACGGCCGTTATAAACAGGTGGCCGTCTAACTAAGGTGGCCGTTATGACAGGTTAGACTGTATTTGAAGAATACACAAGCTTTTTATTTGGAAAACTTTCACCCTTTAACCTTGACAGAATCAGAAGATGAACAAAATGTAATCCTGTCGCTATAATACTTTAGTGTTAATATCAATACATATCTTCACAAAAGCTTTTACCGTGTACTTCTAAAGTGGTAGTGAGCGATTTAGTGTCAACCTTTAAATCTTGTCTGAAGGATGGCACCGTCAGAGACACATGCATGCACAGACAAAGCAGATATGATAAACTGTACTGTATAAAGGGACAACAGATGGAAATGACAAATAGAGAAGCTTTCATGTAAATCAACGTTTAATCCTCTATCTTGTCTACACCTTAATTTCCAAAAAAATCACTGTATATCATAAGGTTACGGGTAACTGTAGCCGAGGTATATATATACCCTCTGGTATCGATATCACTACCAGTGTTACACAGAATCTTTACAATAATCACCAACACAACATAACAATTACAGGGATATCCCCTTACATGTATTATACAACTTTCATGGAATCAATGCTGTCACATTTCATTTTATTGTCAAATAATTAAATTCAATGTTATATTTTGAGTTTTATGAATTTAAGGACTCCGATATTCAGTGCGACATGCTAAAGTTTTCTGAACCCACTATATCTCTTTGTACTGGGAACCATTAAAATGTTTGAAATGGTATTCTAGACATGCCAAAAAAACACCTATCAGGAAATGCAAGATTCTATTGTGATATAACTCTTTATGTAGCTCTAGTTGTATATAAACATCTAGACAGCGGAGGTGTTATTCTCCACCGTCGTCATCTGCAGCCAAATCAGATCACAGTTCTATAAATAATTGATCCCACAAATAACACTAACAGAGCATTATAAAGAAAGTCCCTAATACAAAATTGGACAGTGATAATTCCTAGATGGCTCCAGCTTTTTCTCAGTTAACAATGGTTTATCCCATAAAAGAACTTCTCCGCTGACAACAGGTAGTGACACTGATATGTACCAGAACGATGGTATATTTTCCAGATATCACTGATTAACTGGAGAGACACAAAAGTGTCATGTTTTGGTGACAATACACTATATATGTACTCTGTGACCTGGAGCTCAGAGATATACCTGTTGTACATACTAGTCTGATGAAGGTCACATAGAGTGGTTTACTAGTCTGATGAAGGTCACATTGAGTGGTTTATCTCTGAATGTGAATGATCAGGTAAAACTCAAGGTGAAAAAAAACAGCTGATGAAGCAGTATATAATTGACTTGTCATTGTTTCCTAAATCAACACCACTCTAAAATGTTTGCATTCAGAGAACACCTTGTTTACCCTTAGGTGAAACAAATTACTGAATTACAACTGAATTGTGGTAGAAAAGAGTCAAGTTGATTAACAAATATCAATTTTTGTTACATTGGGAATGGGGCCAATGGTTTTAAATTTGGAAAAAAAATGAGACATATTAAGAAAAAATAACAAAATGTACTAATACTTAAAATTTAATCCTAATTTTCAGGTTTTTATCCCACACCTGTATACAAACATCTGAACCCAGGACTGACAGTCAGAAACTTGTACTTTAGACTGCACAATCTAAATTGTTTGACAATTTGTTAAAAGTAACATCATTTTGGAAATTTTACTCATTAATACAGATAATTTTACTCGAAATCTCTCAAGAAAAAAAACATTTACTAGCAGCTAGATAGTAAAATCCTATTTTAGGATATAGTTCCCAAGTTGTAAAAACAGAGAGCAACAGGTTTTAGCACCATATATGTATAACAAGAGAGAGGAATAGCAAAGGGGGCTTATTACAAATGCTTAAAACAAAAAATACAGAAAAAAAATATGTACACATGTAATAAATACTACAAGTGGAAGTGCCATCCATATGTTTGATGATAAATGTGACTCAGTGTTCAAGTAACCAGGATTACAAAATACCCCCACGGTATTTGCAATATGATGGTAGTGATCATCATGGATTAAATGTATTGATATGGAAAGATTCCTGATGACAAAATATATTCCTTAAGTTAGTAGGATAGGAACTGGGCACTTGAGTAAGTATATATATAGGATATATGAAAACCAATTAAAAAACAAGAAATTATAAAAAAAAGTGCACCAACTCTTGAAGCAAGTTAGGTAAAAATAATATCCTACTATCTTCTACAGCTGATTGAGAAAAACAAGAAAGTAGAATATACTTTTGGCCTGTCTTGCTTCAAAAGCAGGCATTCTTCTTTTTATCTTATTTTGTTTGTTTTTTTTTTTGTTTTTTTTTTTTTCAATTTTTTAAAAATTTTTTAGATGTTTACTATTTTGTAAGAGATCTCTGTATACCACTAGGTATCCCCCTGAAGCTTAGAAGATGAACCTCAACAAACATGAACTTGTTGGTTCTCTGGAAATTTCTCCATTGGTTAAACAGTCAATATTAAATTAATCACAGAAATATTTTTGTGGCTATATAGGACTCTTTTGATTTATAGGCAGCATCAATTTCTGTAGGATTTTTTCTGAGTGGATCTAAAGCACCATTTTCCAAAATTTTGATGAGTCTGATATTTAAGAGATTCAGTAGCTCCTCAAAATTTGAGTAAGTCCCACTGGAAAGTCTCGAGTCCATGAGTCATGGATCAGAGTTCCAGAAAAAACTCAGTCTTTCACATTTATCAAATCCATTACAGATGTAAATATACAAAACAGATTTTAAACAAAACGTTCAGTGGACTATATACAGGTTGATTTCCCTACACAATCAGCTGACTATATACATGTTATAAAAACAAGACATGTTGATTTCCCTACTCATTCAGGTGAGCATATATATATCTTAGTGCTACTTCACTTCGCTATTAACCTGATATAAAATGTCCATCTACATGACATATTGATTAATCTGTGTTTCATTTAGTAGCTGGTCATAAAATGGATGGATATTAAGAGTGTAATTAATACTAAGTCTGTACTGAAACGTACTTATACTGACTCATTACACAGTACTGATGTGTCATTTGTCCTTGTGTTCCAGATCTGGATATATGTAACAGAGGTCATATTTTATCTCAAGGCCTCTGCTAGGAGTCGAACCTGGGACCCCTGGCTTA